TGCATTTGTTTATAATGGATAAAGTAACCACCACAGACCTTTAAAATACGCTACTAATGAGAAATAAAACGTGATCATCATCTTCTAAAGCTTTCCAGCAGCAGTTATTCTTGTTCTGTCCTCATGGCCGTAAATAACACCTTCTATTCAACTTGCCCAAATTGTTGCCTGCTAGACTTCTGACTCCAGGCCAGGATCTCTGGCACTAAAACAGGCAGAGTAATGAACAAAGTGTTGTCTGCTTTTTATGCATTCTACAGATTTGGAGTACAGTAGGAGGGCAACCAGTGCTGCTGAGCCCAGGTCAAGGATGTTAAGAGACTCCGATAAACCACAGTGGCCTAATGTTGATAATGTTGAAGAACCAGATACCTCAGTTGTTCAAAAATAGGGTTCCTTTTTCTAGTCAGAGATACAAATGCCATCGAGAAACCAGCTATATTATGACAAGATATATAGAAGACAGTGTGATGGTTAATTTTATGTGTCGATTTGAATGACACATTAAGGGATGACCAGATAGCTGGTAAAACATTATTTCTGGGTGTGTCTGTGAGGGTGTTTCTGAGAGAGAATGGCATTTGAATCCATGGACTGAGGTAAAGAAGAGCTGCCTTTGTCAATGTGGGCAGCAGCATCTAATCTGTCGAAGGCCTAAACAGCACAAAAGACAGAGGAAGAATGAATGTTTTCTCTCTTTCTCCATGAGCCGGACACCCATTTTCTTCTCTGAAATACTGGAGCTCCTGGTCTTCTGACTCTGGGACTTATGCCAGCAGCTCCTATTGTTTCTCAGTCTGAATTACAGTCTGAATTCATAGTTCTCATCATATGCAGATGGCATATGATGGCACTTCTGGCTTCCACTATCATGTGAGCCAATTCTCATATTAATCTCCTTATATCTTTATATGTATGTCCTACTGGCCCTGTTTCTCTGGAGAGCTCTAATACAGAGAGTGAGCTGTTTATCATTAGCAAAAGGGCCTTGTGACAGGTACACTATTGTCCCTAATTATTTGCTGTTACTGTCTGTGAGGAGACTGTACTTCACCCCACGGATGGCAGGCTTGGTCACATGACCTGATTTGGCCAGTGAAAAGTGAGCAGTATGCCACTTGCAAACACAGTCTTTGAGAGCCACTGGTAATTCTTCGCTCTTAGATATTTCTTCAAAAACTCTTCTCTAATGATTTCCTTAGGCAGGCCAGGAGTCCCTGTTGGACTTGACTGGACTCTTCTTGAAAAGGTTACAAAGATAAGCTAGTATTAGCGTTTCACTTTACAATGTGGGTGCACATCATCCTCAACTTTGGTTTTCAGTCAACACAAACTTACACACATACAAATACACACACACACGTATCACTCACACATATTTATATTTATATTTTCTAGACTGTTGAATAAATTCCCTGTCTTTTGTTATTTTCTGTGAGATAATTTAACTTCTTAATGCAGTTGGAAAATACGGTGCAAATGATACTGTCATAAATGAAAGAACTTCATCAACCTCTAATTAGAAATTGAATCACTATGTGAATAGCATAATAAAATAGCCCATTTTAGTAATCTACAACAGAAATTAGTTCAGGGAAGACTTTATTGAAAGGATATGACTAACATGCCCTAATTAAATGCATTTAAAAATATTTCCTTAACTCCTGGACCAACACTGTCCAATGCAACTTCCTGCAACGATGGAAGAATTCTGTCTCTGTGCTATATGATATGGTAGCTGCTAGCTACATGTGGACTACTTGAAATGTGGCTAGAACAGCTCTGAAGATAAATTTTAAATTAATTTATATTTAAATTTATATAGCCCCACATATGGCTAGTAGCTGCTGAATTAGTGCACCTTAGAGCCTACATTGGAAGAGTATTTTTTCATAAAAACTGAAGTATTCTTTATGTTACTATATTTGGAACTAAGAAGTTTATGTTTGTATATGTATAAGCTTATATCCACATACATATAGGCTTCTTAATTGTACGAACACACACGCACGCACACACACACACACACACACACGCATACCCATGTCTATATCCCTGTAGTTATGTATTTATGCAAGTACACACAACCTTGCCTTTTTTTTTAGGCAACCATACCATTGTAGAGCCAAGAAAGTATTGCCTATTTTATTCCTGACTTCCAGGGATTGTGGGTACTCCCACTGGAGAGCTAATCTAGCTTTAGGGAGAAAATCTTACAGCAACGTATTTTCTCAAGACAAAATTTGCAAAAGTATAGTACCACATCCTGGAATCATAAGTCAAAGATCTTCTTATTCAATCCATTCATTGATCTAGAAAGAATTATTATTATTATTATTATTATTATTATTATTTTTGAGACGGAGTTTCGCTCTTGTTACCCAGGCTGGAGTGCAATGGCGCGATCTCGGCTCACCTCAACCTCCGCCTCCTGGGTTCAGGCAATTCTCCTGCCTCAGCCTCCTGAGTAGCTGGAATTACAGGCACGTGCCACCACGCCCAGTTAATTTTTTGTATTTTTAGTAGAGACGGGGTTTCACCATGTTGACCAGGATGGTCTCGATCTCTTGACCTCGTGATCCACCCGCCTCGGCCTCCCAAAGTGCTGGGATTACAGGCTTGAGCCACCGCGCCCGGCGATCTAGAAAGAATTATTGCCAAATTATCCTGACAACTTCCAATACTACATTACCAAATCTCTATACTTTATTTCCTCATCTTTTCACTGGAAATTAGACTCCCAAGTTCTTCAAATAACCAGATTTTAGTTGCCCCTAGTCCTTAAATTGAAATTGAATTATATTTTTTTTTCACTATACAATTTAAGGAGTGTATGTACCTCATTTTTAAGGAACACTACTGCCAAAGTATAATATTCTGGAATCTGCTGTAATTTTAGGAACATGGGATTTGGAAAATAATTTGGGTGTGAAGATATAATTATTTGGGAAGCCTGGAGAGCTGGAGGCAGGCCTACTATCAGGAACATTTAGACACTGACAGTCTTTACTGTCTGTGTTTATAAACTTCCTGGTGGACTTTCTCAGGGAGCAGAGGCCAGGGAAATACTTGTTAGTCAGGCCATATTGGTCCTGCCTCAGAGAGGTTTCTTTCTCCTTGGTTAATTAAGACATTCAAACTATTCTTAAATGGGGGTATAGTGTGTTCTTTATATTTATTTCTCATTTCATTATAGAACACTAGAAATACCTGATTCTACTTCCTAGTGTCAGTGAGAGAATTAATTCATTTACAGGATTTAGCATAGCTAATATCATGCCCTCAATAAATAACTACTGATTTTTTTTAACTGAGTTTTAAAACTAAAATGTAATTTTAACTAAAGAACAAAAATGCTTCTAAGAAGCATAAGATCTTTTGAAATAAAGTAAAGGGCCATTCATTAGAAAGAGACAAATCTATACCAAGTATACTAGCAAGAAAAGCACCTACAAATTTAAGATTTTAGTTTTCTATTAAAAAATAAAATATAATGGAATGACTTAGTTCAAAATCAGGCTCCCTTCTGCAGATAAGGTAGGAACTAACAGCACTGACCTTTATTAATATGAGAAAAGGAAATTAATGAATATAAAGCAGAAAAGCTGAGACACACTGAAGTTTCCATGAATTGCTTATGATTGCTCACATGCCAGACTCTGGAATATTTCCCGGATTTCATCTCGTGTTTCCCTCGACCCAGTTGATTGTAATTAATAAAACTCTAAGGCATCTGCAAGAAGTTCACAGTATTGTTTTAGGGAATCTCCTCTGTAGGCTAGTGGAAGAGACTGCTAGTTATCAAGGCTTTCTTCCATAAAGTAAGTAATGTCGTCAGTAGGATTAGTCTCAAATGGTCACTGTGCCATCTTTCAGTTGGATTTTTCTCAACTTGGAAACTAGGTTGGGCAGTTTTGAAAGTGTATTAACTCATTCAAAAACAAACCTAAAGAAGGTAGTGACATTTTCCAAAGTAGCCGACTAGCATCACAGCCTTGCTTAAGTAATGAAGAATTCAGATGTGTAGCAAAAGAATATTAAAATGTGACAGCAGTTATTTTACAATGTTTACTGTAAAATGTCTATCAATCTTATATTATGTCTAATGTTAAAGACAGTACATCAAGATTATTTATTTCTCAAAATGTAAATACAGTAGGAATCAGAAAGAGTAGATTTATCAGGAATATGTTTTATATTTGTCATGCCTTTATTCCCTGGGAAAAACATAAAACTCTGTGCAGCTAAAGTGTCTACTTGACTGCTTGATGATGATTAACATTTAAGAATTTGCTCTGGGGGAAATAAGGTGGAAATGTAAGTAGTGGTGCAATTTGCTGTTACTGCTGTTTTTCGCTATTTCCAAATAAGAACACAAGTGAAAGATAGTGGGGAACCTGCATGAACTATATAATATTCAGTCCAATCCTCTTGTTCTCATTGATTCTGTAGATACATGCTGGTTTAACTGCATAGATGGCTTTGTTTTTAAGCTGTTAGTCTTTAAAGAAGCTTTAAAGCTTCCTTATTTAGCAAATGTTCTTATAGGCTTTGGATGCAAAGTGTCTACATGTACATATAGACACCGAGATATATTTTATATTCATCAAACAGAATATCAATTCAGTCCAAGTTGCAGGGTCACGTCCTCTAAGAAAACATTGACTCTTCTCATTGCTGATAATATACATCCTTCCTCCCTTGATGGATTATACCTTCTAGTTCCTTTACTTTTGAACCCAGGCAAAAGTCTACTATCCTGTGAGATGAATCTAATTAAATTTTAGGGCACATTCAAGTGCTAGAAATAAACAAAAGTAAGACAAGAGCTCACGTATAATAACAATAGCAATCCCCACAGCAGTCATTTAAATTAATGCTTGTAATCAAGCAACATAAACATCATAATGCAAAAGCAGAAATAAAATCAACATTCCACCTTATAAAACAGAGGGTGAGGGAGAGTGCTGGTAATATTGACAAAGATACTTTTACTTTACCCATGTAAACATCAGACTGTCTTGTTCTCCCTAGGCTTGCTTTTCATTCTTTGGCATGACAGTTCTGATTCTTCAGCCTCCCCATGAAGAAAAGAAAACTTCTCTTGAAGCTGAATTAAATTCATCAGCAAATGAAATTATATTCATTTGATAAAATGCTAAATGGAAAAGGCAGGTTTATTTTAAGCCGTCAACAGGCTGTTTTAGTTAATCATGCACAGTGCAGAAGACAGGAGTTTGGTTGCTAAGAAAATGGTTGGCATGTTTCCATGAGATCCATGTGACGTGGAATGCATCTGTTCATTTCAATAGCAAAATAGAAAAAATAAAATAAACAGTGCAGGGTATATTTGGTGAGTCACTGTGGAACACAGGGCCAAAATAACTTCTGTGTTGTCAGTGTATTCTATACAACCTTATTGTTGCGAAGTTAGCCTTTTCTTAAAATTCAAAAAATTTTTTAATAGTGATGTTTTGTTAGAAAAGTAATACATATTCATTGTAAATAAATCAGAAAATACAAAATAAGAAAATTAAAATCTGCTGTAACACACACCCATACAAATACCAGTATCTATATTGGTATGTGCATAGCAGGAGATGAATATTTATTTGCTAAATGAATTAATATATATTTTATTTATAAATATAAGATCATACTATAATACATTTATAATCTTTTTAAATTAAAAGACATCATAAACATTTTTTGCGTTATTAAATATTCTTCTTTAGCATAATTATAATAGTTTCATTATTATGGAACAAGTAAGTTATCTGGAAGTCCTGCAAAATTTCTTCAGTAGCCAGGAACTGAATGCAAGCATCTTCCCAGTAAGACTGATACTGTGGTGCTGATATGATGAAATCTGAACATGTTCAATATTTTTTGCTGGGATGTCATACATATTCTCTGATTACTGAGTTAGTAAATGGAATCTTGGTTGTCTTGATTGTGTGTAATTCCATCATTTCTACCACCAGAGAGAGACCATCACTGCTTAGATAGATAACTTGCCATTCACATCCAGGTATACTAATGTGAGAGAGAATGGCCAAAGATAGCAACGTGCTTGGCACACCCTTGCATGCCATCATGGGCTTCAGAGTGAAGTAAGAATGGTTATCGACTTCCACAACATCTTCAAGGTTGCTGCTGCGAACAAAGAGGCCAAACAGAAGAGTATTAAATCACAATGTGGAAGATTATATTATTAATGAAGCTTTTAATTACATAATCCAAAAGGCTGAGAAGTTCAAAACATACAAAAAAAAGGGAAGCAGAGAAACATAGTTGGTATCTCCTAAGAAAATCCACAGTCTTCACTAAGGACAAGGTGGAAAATAAGAAAATTTAACGTCAATGCAAAGACAGAGGGCAAACAGAAGATTGTTGAAGGTTCAATAAGACTATTAGTTAGCTGAACAAGAACCAGCCTGCTGAGAAGAAGAATCTGAATATCAGAAGAAAAGCTGGAGAAGTCTGCAAGATCATCATCACAAGCGGTTAACAAGGAGCTGAAGACATATCAAGAGAAATGGCTTACCAGGGGCAGAGCTCCTCTGTCACCAAGTGCTCCTCTGAAGCCACTATTAAAGCGGGCGACCATGCTGACCAGAAAGAAAGCACATTTCACAGACCTGCTGCAAAGTTTAAATATGTGACTAAGTCAGTTAAGTGGCAGTTTAAATCATATTTAAACATAAATTAAGCTGTAGGTAAATAGATCAAAAGATGTGTAACAGCTCAAACAAAACAGAAGTTTATTTCTTGCTAACTTCACAGTTGAAGGCATGTGTTTCCTGGTTGGTGGATGGTTCTCTCCACATAGCAACTCAGGGACAAAAAGTCATTTTGCATTCTCTTTGTTACACTTCATATTCATCATTCGCCTCCAGTCTGTGAAAGAAAATGAGGGCTTGGAGGTGGCACACCTACTTCTTTAAAGCTTTGTCCCAGAAATGGTATTCATTACTAGAACTCAGTCATGTGATCTAACTGCAGGAAACTGGCATATGTAGTCCAATTGTGTACCCAAGAACAGAACATGGTTTGGTAAAGAAGGGAGGAAATAGCAACCATTATCTGAGGTTGCTTAAATTTAGTCATATTATGAATACTTTAGTACACTCTGGCAGTGCTGTAAATAAGCAAAAATTAAAATCCTGCACCCGGATTCCCATTGCCACCAACGTCACGTAATTTTTTAAAGGTATATACAATTTGTGTGTCAATAAATAAAGATCCATTTTAAATTGATACCATAAAAAACAAGTGGAATTTTTGGGTCAGATGTACCTACAGAAATCTATGGCTCTTCATTAAGTAGTATCTAACTGACCTTGAGAAACTGTTCAATTTACATTCTTACCTGCAGTAGGTGAGAGTAGCTGCCTTCTGTGCTATCATCCACATCATTGTTATCACTGCATACAGCATTCACATTTTAAAGTTTTTTAAGAGGCACATTATGATATGGTAATTGAGACCACAGACTCTAGAGCCATACTGCCTGGTTCTGAATTCCACCTTGTCCTTGTTCTTACTGAGATCTTTCTGTGTCTCAATTTTCTTATCAACAAAATAGGGTAATAATAATACCTACTTCATCAGGTACTGTTCATATTTGTGAGGATTAAATGAGTTAATATGTAAAATGTCTTGAATAGCACCTGATGCATAATGTCATATGTTTTGCTGTTATCATTTTTAATCTGTCATATATGTTATGAGCATCTGATGCATAAGTCTTATGTTTTTGCTGTTATCAGTTTTAATCTGTCTTATATGTTACAAACATTTTCTTCTCCATATTGCTTGTCTTTCAGCTTTATTTTTAAATCGTTGCTTTCCATACAGACTTCAAAATATTTTTATGCAATAAATAATATCTAGACTTTCCTTTATAGCTTTTGTGCTTCCAATTGTATCTTATAAAGGACTCTCTCTCTTTTTTTAAAGTCATTCATGTCACATATATGTTTTTAAAATTTTTTCCTGCTGTCTTAGCCTGTTGGTATTGCTATAAAAGAATATGTAAGTCTGGGTAATTTATAATAAAAAGAGGTTTATTTGACTCATGGTTCTGCAGGCTATACAAGAAGCAGGGCACCAGCATCTCCTTCTGGTCAGGGCCTCAAGGAGCTTCTGCTCATAGTGAAAGACACACATCACACAGCAAGTGAGAGGAGGAGGTAAGAAAGGCACCAGGCTCTTTTTAACAATGAATTCTTGTGAGAACTGGTAGAGCAAGAACTCACTACCCCTAAGATGGCATCAAGCTATTCATGAAGGATCTGCTCCCACGACCTTAACACCTCCCACTAGGCCCCACATCCAACATTAGGGATTAAATGTCAACATTAGATTTGGAGGGGATAAATATCCACACTATTTCACTTGTTTTCAGTTATAACTGAGAGCACAGGTTTTGGTGATTGTTTTGTAAAAACCATATCATTACTTTTCCTTAAAGTTTCTACATTATGGGTTTCTTAAAAAAAAAAATCTTTGCCTCCCAATTACAGTTTAATTAATTTACTAACAATTGACATAAGTAGAGATATAACATTGCTTTCTAAGTTGTTTGTTAATTATCTCATCATTGTTTATTATTCTATGCTCTGATTAAAAGGGCTTGTTGAAGGTTGGTACCTCCATCACTCATCAGATGTTGACTTGACTGAAGCCACACTCCTTGTCTTGTTTTAGAGTCAGTTAAGAGATAGGTCTATATGTAGAGGCAACTCTCAACTACCAGCCCATAGATAACCCACTTTGGAGATCAATGAAATAAAAACCCAGACTGAAAAAAATCATCTGAGCCTGGGCTCTTCACACTGCTTTCTACTGGGCTCTGCTCAGAAATGCCAGCTAACTTTAACTTTACATATGTCAGCTCGGAAGAATGATTTTTTAAAGGTATATATATGTGTTACAGAGCTAATTACAAGTGAGTTTTGAAATTTCTGCCATCTAGCTATCTGTGCATTATGCTCTTCAACGATTACAAGTAATGGAAAGCTGAATGTTGTTTTTGAAAAAATGAAAACCACATGTCATTCCCGGAATCAGACACGGCTATGATTTTATAGAATAGAAATCAGAAGACAGAAGGGACTCAAGGAAATTTAGCAGAAGCAAGTCACCCAAAGTAGATATAGATTTTTGACTTTGAAATGTAGATTTAGTCAATCAACAGCTCATAAAACTTTTTCTATAAGACCATTCCTTGTCATGGGGGGCTCAACTATTCATGAATATTCTGTGAAAAAGGGGTTCAAAGAATCTCAGATGTCATCACAGCTTTTTTTTTTAATACAAAAAAATCTTTACAGAGGTATGTATGGACATTGGATTTTGAAACTTTGTCTAGGTTTGGCACACGGGCTCATGACTATAATTCAGGTACTTTGGGAGGCCAAAGTGGGTAGATCACTTGAGGCCAGGAGTTTGAGGCCAGTCTGGCCAACATGGCAAAATCCCAGTCTCTACTAAAAATACAAAAATTAGCCTGGCATGGTGGCATGCCTATAATTCCAGCTACTCAGGAACCTGACGCATAAGAATTGCTTGAACCCAGAAGGGGGAGGTTTGCAGTGAGCCAAGACCATTCCACTGCACTATAGCCTGGGCGACAGAGCAAGACTATGACTCAATTATGATCTTCATCAGCTTCTCAAGCTATCTAAGGTGAAGAACCAGGTTTTTTTTCCCATATGAAAGAGAATAGTTCTGTAAAATATAAATTGCTGGAAAGAGGAAATGAAAATATAAACTAATATAAACAGAAGCCCATTTGTTTATTATTAGATTTAGCAAACACAAAATTACTAAGTCAAATTGCTGTAACAGTTTGTAAATCCAACTTTTAATTTCTGCTTTTATTTCCTTGTCAACCTAGCAACAGTTAGCAGGCTGTTATGGGTCCATGTATCACACTTGGAGCAGCACTGCTCTATGCCATTTCTGGCCCCAAATCAATGCATTTTTCAAAGCTAAAAGCTCCTATGACATTAGAGAATGATGAAGAGAGAACCAATTTAACTGTTGTATATGTATCTAGAACAAATGTTACAACTTCCTTGTTCCTATGCTCTAGTTAGAAAGACAGTTTCAAAAACAGGTCTTTTGACCTGATATTTAGTTCTAAATTGATAAAATGATGATACACTTGGAATCTCTTACTTTGTAAGTAATGTCTAAATCATAAAAGTGCTGCTTGAACAGCATATTCCCTTTTCCAATTGTAGTTTATTCAATATTTGTTTTTATGCCTAATAATTATTTTTTTTTAAAAATCAATGCCCA